TGGTCTTGGGTTTTGGTTGCTAGTTTTGTTTTTGTTTTTTTTGTTTTTTTTTATCATTGTGTTTTCTGTATCTCTCTGTTTTTGTCTCTGTTTATCTATCTGTCGGTTTTTATGTCTCTCTTCAGTTAGTTCCTGTTTTTTTGTTTTTATTTTTACATTGTTTTTCCTCATGTGTTGCTCATATTTTTAACTTCTGTTTTTTTTTTTTTTTTTTTTAATTAAAGTTTGTACCCTTCACAACCTGCCTGCTGTGCCTGCACTTGCATCTTTTCTGATGAACCTATAATACAAAATACAATACAAATGAATAAGACCAGTCCCAGCAGACACTAATTTCCAACCAGCCCCACTGAGGTCCTGCAGTCGAGTTGAGTTTATTGTACCTATATAGATGTATTTTTGTCTACATTGCCTTTTGTTTGTTTGTTTGTTTCATTTCTTTATTAAAGTTTGTTCCTTTCCACAACCTGCCTGCTGTGTCTTGGTGACTTGTGATTTTTCTCCATCACAAGAGCACCCAGAAACTCCTCATCTTAAAGGCCCTAACATACCACTCCTGTAGTTTGTGCTTTTCTTGTTTTCTCTCCCTAACTGTACTTTTCTCTGCAGCTATCTCTGGCTCCAGAGCTGCGTGTTTCTGATCAGTGGTTACTGGCCTCATCAACCTGCTCAGTGTTTATTGGCTGTTGTTGCTCAGTGCTCATCTTTTCTCTCTCCTCTGTCCTCCCACCTCAACTGGTTGATGAAATTGGCTGCCTTTCTTAAGTCTAGTTGTGTTTTAGTTTTCTTCTTGTTAAAAGGGAGTTTTTTCCCTCAATTGATGCCACATGCTGCTTAATGGGGAATTTAATACTGTGTAAATTGCCCTGAAAAGACAAGTTATATAAATTAAATTACAAACTGCAATTTAAAACTCTGAGAAAGTAAGCAGTAGATATTAAGATGACACCAACATTTTTTGTTCATAAAGTCCCAATGTCCTACAGAGGTAGAGGCTACCTCACACCACAAATGGATCAAGGCTGCAGGATAAAGAGCTGCACATTACTGCAACAGTACTTTAACAGTTGGACTCCCACTCCCACCCATCACTCTTTGTTTGAGTTCTTAAATGCTCACTAAAAGATAGTACAGTAAGCAAACAGACAGTGTTTCAAAATATTTTCCCTGTAAAAGTCTGCAAATACCAGTACTCCAGGGGTCTTAAAAGCCAGGTTGTTTGTGTGTCACTTGGTTGTGGGTAATTTATGTAAAAATCTTACTGTTATTCCAAAATGTCTTGATTCCAAAAAAGATTAATCCTGTCAAACCTGCTGGGAGTGTGCTCCAAACAAAATCAAATTATCTCATGAACTAAAAGGTAGGCAGTTGTGGTAGTAGGCATGAATTAAAAGGTAGAGCAAGCTTAGATCTAGAACATAGGAGTTAGCAGTTAGTTGGTGAGTGTTTTTGGAGCTTGGATTTGAGTTTGACTAGGACTTGTTGTCAGGTAGCTGTCAGTCTTTGTAGGACCAGAGCACTTCCCAGTTTCACTCTCTGAGGTGGGCTGTTCCCTCTATTGTTACCTGGCTGAAAATCTAAAAGGGGAGGGCAAGGACACCGCCTGGTTAGTCTTTTCCTACTTTTCCAATTATCTGCACTTGTAGCCTGTCTAACCATGTGCTATAATACCATACCTGTTATCCAAAGCTTTCAGAAAAAACACACTTGCCACAGAAAGTACAACCCTGCAAACCTCCACTCTTTCGCAAAAGCCTCCATTACTGGTTTGTCCTTCAACCTTGGCCTATGGAATTGTCAGTCTGCTGTAAACAAAACAGAATTAATCCAAATACTTATTTTTTAAGATATTCAGGTCCTAGCCCTGTCTGAAACCTTGATCCGTCCAGAAAACACTGCCACACCCGCGGCACTCTCTGCTGCCTCCACCTTCTCCCACACACCCTGCAGTGCTAGACGAGGAGGTGGTACTGGAATCCTCATTTCCAAAAAATGGAAGGTCACTAAGCTCTCTCTGCCAAGCCACAACTCCTCATTTGAACACCATGCAATCAGTGTCACTGGTTAAGCTATATATTGTTGTCATACATCGTCCTCCAGGGTGTCCGCTGGGAAACTTTGAAGTTGAACTGGACATGCTACTCTTGGCCATTTAGGACTATAACACACCACTTGTTGTCATGGGAGATATGAGTATCCACACAGACAAAGCCCAAGGAAGTGTCTTTCTGTCACTTATGGCATCTTTTGACCTGAAGCTGGTCTCCATCCCTCCCACACACAAAGCGGGTAACAAGCTTGACTTGATTTTCTGTCGAAACTGCTCCACAACAAATCTGAATGTCACTCTGCTTCATCTGTCAGACCACTATTTTATTCAATTCGCTGTCTCCTTACCGGAAGACTCTCCAGTTCCTCCACAAATGGTCTCCTTCCGCCGCAACCTTCGGTCCCTCACACCGACCCAACTTTCTGATGAGGTCATGCCTCGTCACAACAGATTCTCCTCACTCACGGCTGACGAGGCCACAGACACTCTCTGTTCCTCACTAGCCTCTGCCCTCTAACATCCAAACCTGCTCCTACCTCTCCCCCTTTTCCATGGCTCACTGATGTCACCAGAAAGCAGAGGGCGGGGCTCAGAGCAGCAGAAAGAAAATTACATCAATCCAGAGGGCCCTCTGACCTCAGTGACTATCAAGGTCAACTGGCATCATTCTCCTCCAGTTTAAAAACTGCTAAGACCAAGTACTATTAGAACAAAATCTGTGGCACAACAGATGCTCGAAAAATATTTTCTGCTTTTAACTCACTCCTCCACCCACCTCCTCCACCACCCTCCACTCTGCTCACTGCAGATGTGTTTGCCTCATTTCTGCAATCAGTAACCAGTTCTCTGAGTATGACCAACTCACTGTTCAGCCGCCAGCTCATAGGGCCACTTTTTCCTCGTTCTCCGCTCTGACTGACGAGGAAGTCTCCAAGTTAGTGCTGGACTCTCATCCTACTACCTGTCCACTGGGCCTGATACCATCCAACCTCTTATAAACCATTTTCTCAGCACTTAACCCTGCAATAACACATATCATCAACTCCTCACTTGCTACAGGTGTGTTCCCTGCTACATTTAAGCAAGCTCGAGTCACTCCAATACTCAAAAAAACATAACTTGACCCAGCCCAGGTTGAAAATTACAGACTGGTTTCACTACTGCCCTTCCTGTCTAAACTACTTGAGCGAACTGTCTTCAACCAAGTCTCTACTTTACTCTGTGACAACAATCTGTATGACCGTCTGGTTTTAAACAGGGTCACTCTACTGAGATTGCCATCCTATCTGTAACAGAATCACTGCGTTCTGCTAGAGCTGCTGGACAGTCTTCTTCTCTGTTGCTGCTAGATCTATCAGCTGCCTCTGACACGGTTAACCACCACATCCTCCTCGCCACACTCACTGAGCTGGGCATCTCAGGATCTGTCTTCTGCTGGTTTGTGTCCTGCCTCTCAGGAATTGGATAGGATAGGATAGGCTGTGTGGTTCAGACACTCTCCCCTCCAGGATACTCTGAAGTATCCTGGAGGGGAGAGTGTCTGAACCACACAGCCTATCCACAGGGGTTTCTCAAGGGTCAGTGCTTGGTCCCCTTCTCTTCTCAATTTACACAACCTCACTAGGTGCAATAATCCAAGCCCATGGTTTTCTATCCATTGCTATGCTGATGATACTCAGCTCTTCCTGTCTTTCCCCCTGAACGACCACACGGTCTCTGCCTGGATCTCATCATGCCTTGCCGACATCTCCGCATGGATGAAAAACACCATCTTCAACTCAACCTCTCTAAGACTGAGCTCCTTGTCATCCCAGCCAGTCCCTCTCTACAACAAGAAATCAACATCCAGCTTGATTCAAACCAACTCAAACCTACAAAATCTGCCAGAAACTTGGGTGTCATGACTGATGACCAACTAACCTTCAAGGTTCATGTGGGCTCTGTTGCTCAGTCATGTCGATTTGCCCTGTACAACATCACAACATCAGGAAGATCAGACTTTTCCTGTCTCAACATGCAGCACAACTCCTGGTACAAGCTCTAATAATATCACGCATTGACTACTGCAACTCTTTACTGGCAGGCCTCCCCGCATCCACGGTCAAACCTCTACAGATGATCCAGAATGCAGCAGTGTGTCTGGTTTTCAACCAGCCAAAAGCAGCACGTCACCCCGCTATTCAGATCGCTTCACTGGCTTCCAGTTACTGCCCGCATCAAATTCAAAACTCTGGCACTTGCTTACAAAACGACAACGAGAACAGCTCCCTCCTACCTGAACTCTCTCATGCAGATCTACACTCCCTCTCACTCACTATGCTCGACCAACAAAAACCGCCTGATACAACCACCGCAACAGGGCCCAAGGTCGACAGCTAGACTCTTCTCCTCTGTGGTTCCCCGGTGGTGGAATGAGTTACCAAATTCTGTTCAATCTGCTGACTCCCTCTTAGTCTTTAAAAAAAGACTAAAGACCCAGTTCTTCACTGAACACCTTTGCACTTGACTGCCCAAAAACAAACAAACAAAAAAACAAACAAACAAAAAAAAAAAAATCCTATTACCTCTCACACAGCCTGCTGTTGGCATCAACTGCCTATCACACTTGAATTTGTTTTATGGCAGTTATCTAGATTGTTTTCTCCTGACTAGATCCTTGCTTGTGTTGTATCTGCTTTCAGATGTACATCGCTTTGGATAAAAGTGTCTGCCAAATGAAACTACAGAATTGTAGGCAGAGAGGTCAGTCTTTTAAAACTCTCCTCAAGGTGAAACCCATTGGAAGCTCACAAATGGCACTGCGTGGTCTTCACTACGAGTTCTCAGGTGTCAATGTGCATGTTTCACAGCTCACAGGATAATGTGCTGGTTATATTTAAGAAAATATTGTGTTGTCTTTAAATTTAGGTTCTGCTAAAGAATGAAACTGGCTTGTGGTTGGGTCACTTACCAGAAACAGTTAACTCTGTCCTGAGAGTAGTCAAACTGGACTGCAGAGCAGGCTCTCAGATCAAGAGATCTAATGGGCTCCTCACACTGCAACAGGCAAACAGGCTGATTACTTGTACTCACAACAAAATGAAATGTTCTTCATGTCTATGTGGCAAGAGGCAACAAAAAAATAATGTGCTTGGTCCAGCCACATACTGTAATCAAGAATTCAAACGTGAAAAGTACAATTCCTAGAATGTCTTGAAGCTGAAAAGAGACTCACCATTTTGTCTCTGAAGTATTTAAGTTCATATCTGTTGAGTGTGAACCACCTCCGTTTCCAGTTCTACCAAAAGGTTTAAAAGTTAATGTATTTTTAATTTCACCTCAAGTCATTTGAAACACTGAACCAAACATTTTGGTACTGATTTACTACTGAGAAACATTTCTTTGTAAATGCTGATTTGGGTTCAGAGATGTGATGCTCTTACAGTTTCACTGTTCTTACCTTCACAACTGCTCCCTGTTTCACTAGATAGCCTTCCTTTGTGCCCAGCTGAAAAGACAGGGTTTGTTTGAGTGGAAACATAATCCATTATCTTAATTGTAAAATATACATCACATAAAAATGTCCATTGAGTCAAGTTTAACATATTCATATTTAACTGAACCAAAGTAAAGCTACTGTTCTCCGTTTCTGTCCACATCGAGGAAACAGTCCTCTTGTTTGAATAAACTTTATTGGACTGTCACAGGACAGAGAGAGCAGGGGCTTCGTGCTTCCATTCAGTGTGGGCACACATTGTGGATTTACCTATACAAGGTGGGCTGGAAGAGCGCAGTTTGTAGTTGTGTAGAAAAGCAAATTAAAATGTGGTATGTGATTTCATGCATTATACAAGATTAATTGCAATGTCTGCCCAGCTTTATAGCTGACAGAAAACCACTGGTGCAAAGCTAAAATATTCCAGGTGAAGCATCAATAGTAACTGAACTGAACAGTTTGGGACTAATATACATATCATTACACCCCTACTAAGTAGGCATGATGGTCTTAAGGGTGTGCCATTAGCGCTTATAAAGGATGATTCTGGTTTGTTTCAACACTGTGTATTTAAAGAGAAAAATAAGGAGTTTAACAAAATGATGTAAATTGGGTGAGAAATGCAAATTTACTGCAGTTTTTTTTTTTTTTAAATGGATGTTTACAAAAGTAATTTTTAAAGTGCAGGTTGAAAGTAAACACAGAAACTGGCAACCTGACACAGGTATTTTGCTAACTGCATTAAGGATCTCTATCAGATAAAACGCCAGCTGACCTAATCGCTCTACTTACATGTGTGAGGCTGCCTTTCTGGAAACTCCAGTAAAATGTAGTGATGGAGTCAGGTTTCACCAGGTTGAAATAAATCGGAATAATCCTTTAAGGTGCTGATTGGTTTATGTATGTACTGGCTGGCTGAAGGTGTTCTGACAGACATCCCTCAATATGTCTAAATTAAAAAAAGGACATACAGAGTAAATATGCCTGTATAGTTTTTTAGTCACCCAGGTCATGGTAATCCTAAGAGAATCAATAAAAAAGCAACTGAACTTCTCTTTTAGGTTCTTGAAGACATTTTACTGCTTACCAGCTCGCATTGTTAATGACCCAGGACTCACATGCCTTAAGGTGTGAATGGTTGCTAAACTGCCAAAATAATTAATTACCCATGATAATTACTGGAAGCAGTCGGTAGAGTGGTGATCAATTTAGAATCACGTTGGAATTGAGAAACCACTTGTAATTTCGGAATTCACCCGTTTAGCAGAAGGAAAATGACACTTGCTGTGTAGGAGGAGGGCCACAGCACTTGAAAATGGGCTGGATCAGTAGCACAGAGACAGGATGACACCTTTGCATAGTTACATTAAAAAAGAGTCAAAACTTATAATTACAAAGAAAATGTTTGCGGTGTTGCTTTATAAAAGTTAACTTAAGAAGCTTCAACTTTAAGTAAATCAAAGCCCAACTTAAACTGTAGAAAAGCACAAATTAAAAATATTATCAGCTCATAAAACATTAGAAAGAACCTGCGTTAAAGCCGTAGTAAGTAAAACACTAGAAAAAGCTCAGGAAAATAGTAAAACAAAACCTAAATGTAAATTCTGTATTGCAATTCTGTGTGCAGGGTTAGAGCGTTGCCGGGCAACGAAGCACACAGCTGCAACAGAGACTTAGTTTCACTGTCAAATCAGTCAAAGTGAGCAAAGGGGAGAAGACCTCAAACAACCGCCATTTTTGTCAAAACTGTGTGTCAGAGAGAAAAGCCGAGTGCATATTCAGAAAGCCAAGACCTTGGGCATTACAGAGATGTATTTTTTCTTTTCCTGGAGTAAAAAATGAGCGCACAATCATTTGAGAAAAAATGTGTAAATTTGTGGTCCTTAAGAAAACTCAGTAGCCGTCTTTGAATGGGTGCAGATGGGGAAGGAAGAGAGACTTTTAGAGGAACAAGGCCCCAAAATCCCCCCAAACTTAATTCTGTGGGCTTCCAAAGTGACATTGTGAGACGGAGGACAAATTTTCCTACGTTTTGATGTAACAATGATGTATGTGGCATAAAAATTGTGGCCAGGGTGACAAGTTAAAAAAAGTTTACTGTGTGATTTTTTTCTGAGCTCCCACTCTAGTGATGTCATCACTTACTCTAAAGGACCACATACACACCCATTGTAAAGGCTGAAAAGGGGTGAAAAAGTTTGAAAACGTCAGAGGTTGTCACGAAGAAACGATTGAAGATATGAAAAAAGTAGAAATGCTTTAAAATAGGGGAAGGGCGCATCAACATTTTAAAGTTTAAATGGAGTTTCTAGGTGAAAGTATGCCTGAGCAGTGGAGGTTTGAAAAGTAGTGTAATTTTGTGTGTTTTTTTCATCCATCCCATTCATTTTCAATGGGAGATTTTTGCGACATTTTCGCGAATTGCGTTGCGAAAAATGCGTTTTTTGTAAATCTGTATGTAAGCACACTGTTCCCAATCGAGCCGCATGTTTTGAGGTGTACAGTTTGAAGAGGAATGGTGAGAGTACAGTTCCTTGTGGTGCTCCAGTGCTGCTGACTACCATCTCCGACACACAACCTTTCAGTCTCACAAACTGTGGTCTGTTTGTTAGGTAGTCGTAAATCCAAGTGGTTGTGGAAGGATC